TGTCTTGATCAGTCTCTATCTGTTTGTCTATTACTTGATCAGTCTGTCTCTATATGTCTACCTCTGTCTTTAACAGTCGTTCAGTCTGTCATCCTCTGTCTCTCTCTGTCTTTATCAGTCTCTCATCTGTTTGTCTATTACTTGATCAGTCTGTCTCTATATGTCTACCTCTGTCTTTTAACAGTCGTTCACTCTGTCAGCCTCTGTCTCTCTCTTCTTTATCAGTCTCTCTATCTGTTTGTCTGTTACTTGATCAGTCTGTCTATATGTCTCCTCTGTCTTTAACAGTCGTTCACTCTGTCGTCTCTCTGTACTCTGTCTCTTATCTGTCTGGTTCATTATTTGTTCTGTCTTGAGCGTTCGTTCATCTGTCATATGTGTCTTCGTTAATCTGTGTATATATATATTTTGTTTTGTCTGTTTTAATCAGTCTTCTCTCTCTCTCTCTCTCTCTCTCTCTCTCTCTCTCTCTCTCTCTCTCTGTCTTGACCAGTCTCTGTCTTGATCAATCTCCGTCTTTATCTGTCATTTTTTCTCTTGATCAGTCTCTGTCTTTCGTTTTGACCAGTCTCTCTCTCTCTCTCTCTCTCTCTGTGTGTGTGTGTGTGTGTGTGTGTGTGTGTGTGTGTGTGTGTGTGTGTGTTTGTCTTCTTTGATTAGACCTTTCTGTTTGATTAGTCTGTCTTGATTAGTCTCTCTCTGTCAGTCTCTGTCTTGATCAGTAACTGCCTTTGTCTTTCTCAGTCTTGATCGCTCTCTCTCTCTCTCTCTCTCTCTCTCTCTCTTTGATCAAACTCTATCTCTGTCTTGATCAGTCTCGCTGTCTTTTTATCAGTCTCTCTCCCTCTCTTTGATCATACTCTATTTCTGTCAGTCTCTGTCTTTTTCTTTCTGTCTTGATCTGTTTCTCTCTGTCTTTTTTTATCAGACCCCCCCCTTTCTCTCTCTTTTTGATCAGACTCTATCTCTGTCAGTCTCTGTCTTGATCAATCTTTGTCTCTGTCAATCTCTGTCTTTGTCAGTCTCTGTCTTGATCAATCTCTGTCAGTCTCTGTCTCTGTCAGTCTCTCTCTTGATTAGTCTGTGTCTGTCTATGTTGATCACTCTGTGTCTCCATCTGTCAATCTGTGTCCTGATCACTCTCTCTTGATCTATCTATCTACCATAGCTTGTTCATATCTATCATATTTATCTATTTTTCACTTATATGATATTACACATAACATGTACTCGTTTATTCCAAATGCAAGTGCCGCCTTGAATAACCATGCCGGTGGGAATTTCTTAAATATTAAAATCATTGGATAGTTTTAGATGTTGTTTTTATTATTATTATTATTATTATTCCTGGAATAAAATAAACGTATGTGCTGAGATCGAATTCGAGATTGTTGCATTAAATTTCGCATAAATACCTTTGGTAAAGGAATCAATCTTTCTCCCCTTAGATATGGGTTAAATAGAAGAACAGACACCTCTCCCTATTCGTAGTTGACATCCATTATAAGAGAATGACAATTCTGAATTACCATACGGGACCCGGTTTGGGCGCATATTTAAACTGTAAGTAAGGTCCGCTCTGCATAGTTGCAGTATAAATCAGAGATTTTCTCTGTGGGTGTTGAAGAAACGTAGATACACCTGAGCTGAGGTGCATGCTCAGAAGTGAGCGGCCATGCCGGAGATGTGAAGTCATCCATTTCCTCAGCTCAGCCAAAGAGACGTCAAGCGTCTCGTCAGGTCGTAAAGTCCTCGACGCGAACTGTTCATAGGCAGTGAAGGCGTCTGTCGTAGAAGCTGCGCATAGGGCCTTCTTAATTCGGGTTACACCCTTTTTGTCCTCCTAGCTCAGCTGTAAATACACAGCATAGGCCCCACCAGTAAGAGGGAGAACCCGTTCAACTTGCTTTATTCAGCACAAGTCGCACACCGTCTGAACCTTTTCCATCCATTCTACGAAAGACCATTCGTTGTTCGTGAGCTCAAAATCCTCTCTTTTTTTCTTTATTTTAAAACCATTTCAGAAATGTGCTTGTATCTGTTGCATCGATCGCATTAGCGTCTATGTTCAATTTCATTTTCTTCTATACTAAATTGGCGCCAACATCGCAAACTGTTAAAAAAAACACATTAACTTCAAAACTCGAGTTCCGTTCTTAAATAGCCTTAAATAGACCGAGACATTTTATATGTTTAAACTATGCATCGCGACAAACCCGTTAATAAATATCTAAACTGTCAGTTGCATAGAACTACTTTCTAAGACCAATGTCTCTGAGTGAAGCCTGAGAGTCTTGACCAAGATCCTTCTCCTTTGAGCATAATAGGTTGACGAATGGATAAGGCATGTAACTCGAAGAGAAAATAATGACATAATCAAGATGTTGACGTTCCACACTACTTCAAATAAAAGGCAAGGAATATATCAATACTGGAAAGAGCGATAACATCTAATGGACTTGAGAGACCTGTTTTCCTGAATAATTGTTTTAAGAGAAAGATTTTATAAATTTAATACGAAAGCAGTACTGGCTGCTCGGTCAATGAATGCCAAATGTTTCCTTATAGGGAAAAGGCTAATATCAATACTGGAAAGAGTGATAACATCTACTGGACTTGAGAGAACTGTTTTCCTGAATAATTGTTTTAAAAGAAATATTTTATAAATTTAATATGAAAGCAGTACTGGCTGCTCAATCAATGAATGTCAAATGTTTCCTTGTAGGGAAAAGGCTAATATCAATACTGGAAAGAGCGATAACATCTACTGGACCTGAGAGACCCGTTTTCCTGAATAATTGTTTTACGAGAAAGATTTTATAAATTTAATACGAAAGCAGTACCGGCTGTTCGGTCAATGAATACCAAATGTTTCCTTGTAGGGAAAAGGCTAATATCAATACTGGAAAGAGCGATAACATCTAATGGACCTGAGAGATCTGTTTTCCTGAATAATTGTTTTAAGAGAAAGATTTTATAAATTTTAACCATAAGCAGTACTGGCTGCTCGGAATTTCAACTCTTAACTGATGATATTCCTAAGTGAATCCTGACCAGAGGTGGTAGCACCTGTTAGGGTTCCGGCTATGAGCAAATAGTGAACTCCGAACAAAAATCAACAATACATTTTTATAGAAAAACTACAATACAACTCTAAGAATGTATAAAACACACTTTTATATTAAAAGTATAAGCAATAGATTTTTATGAAATTTTTAAAAATACCAACAATATATAGATTCCTGCATGTCAAAGCCAATATACGATAAAACATTTTCATTCTTCTTGTCTATAAAGGAGACAATTTCTTAAAGGAAAACAGCTCGGTCAATGAATGTTTTCCTGAATAATTATTAATTCTATGTTTAATTTGTTTATCCCCTGTCCTAAATTTACTATAAATAATCTTTTCCTAGACTATTCCCTGTGCATATTCAAACACAGATATGACGAAATGGTACTGAGCATTTAAACATCCCAAACCACATCCACTACAAGAAGACAGCGGTTCTGATTTCCCTCTGGAGGCCAATGTACTGATAATGAAAGCAGCTATGCTGATGACATAGGTATTCATAGTTGGGATAAGAATTAACCTGAACAGAAAATCAACATCCTCTAACAAATGTTCCAAGAAATTGGATTCAATATAAACCTTTCCCAAAAAAACTATGATTTAGAATTGAAAGTAAAACTGTGATGGCATCAACCCTGAATCCATCATAAAAATTTCAGAATGTTGAATTAGTAAAAACTAAACACTTGAAATACTTCAGCATATGAATCAGTTACAAGAAATTAAGTAAATGAGAAAAAGAAGTTGAACATGGAATAGGTTATGCTCAAGGTACCTTTGGCTATCACCACAAGTTGCTATGAAACCAAAAACAACAACACAAAAAGTTTTTTATCTCCTAGACCAGTTGCCACACAAGGCTATAGAATCCAGTTTGTCTTACTATTCATAATATTTGCTTTGCCAGGATTACATAGAGTTTTAAAGTAAGAGTTTTCCTTCTTCTAGACTGGTTGCCACACAAGGCCATAGAATCCAGTTTGTTTTACTATTCATAGTATTTGCTTTACCACAGCTACATAGTTTTGAATTCAGAGTTTTCCTTCTCCTAGACCGGTTCCCACACAAGGCTACAGAATCCAGTTTGTCTTACTACTCATAATATTTGTTTTGCCAGGGCTACATAGAGTTTTGAATTCAGAATTTTCCTTCTCCTAGACCGGTTGCCACTCAAGGCTATGGAACCCAGTCTGTGTTACTATTCATAATATGTGCTTTGGTAGGACTACATACAGTTTTGAATTCAGAGTTTTTTCTCCTAACTGTTTCTATTCCAATAATATGGAACCAACGAAAAGAGACAGATATTTAACAATATTATACTGAAAAGATAAGCATTAATAATACAATTTTATTAACTTTCTTTCTGTTGTTTTTTTTAAGCTGATCAAGATTTTATCCAATAAAATCTTCCTATATTTCTTATTCATTTTTATTTATACATCCTATGGGGTTTTTAACGATTTCCATATCAAGTTGGACAATTGAATAGTTTAACAATATTTTATATACAACGGTAACATATACATCAAAACTTGAATTGAGAGAGTTGCTAAAAACATGTTTTTAGTGGGTATAGTCAAATGATTGGGTCAATTCCAATACATTTCAATATAAATAGTTGGTTATACTTATCTGACATTCAAGCAAAGTGTTGTTTTGTCTCGGAGGCTATTTGGTAGGTTCAAGTACATATCTTTCTCTTGAAAGTTGAGCCTTCTCATTCATACTGGTTTGAGCGCTGTTTTCTAGAGCTGGCTAAAGACGTCTGTCTCCTTCGAAATCACAGGTTGCACTAACTTAGCGTTCATAAGTATGTGCCAGAACTGGGTTATAGCATTAAAAGTAGATAATATAATCTTCAAATTGCAGCAGGAGCAAGGGGAAATAACCCAATTTCATATAATCCTGAACATGTGTTTAAATGACTGCATCAATATTCACCAGTCTCACACTCTTTTTCTGTTTCATTTTTTTCTCTGCAGGCATCAAAGTAGAACTTGTTGATGGCTCCTCAGAACACAGTGGAAGAATTGAAATCACTCGTAATGGAATCAAAGGAACTGTCTGTGATGATGAATTTGATAACAATGATGCTACAGTTATTTGTAGAATGTTGGGGCACAGGTAATTTTGAATATTTATATATTTTCTTTAGGTAAACAAAGGATTAGATTATACCTGCAACAATGTACCGATGATGAAAGCAGCTATGCTGATGACATAGGTATTCATAGTTGGGATAAGAATTAACCTGAACAGAAAATCAACGTCCTCTAACAAATGTTCCAAGAAATTGGATTCAATATAAACCTTTCCCAAAAAAACTATGATTTGAAATTGAAAGTAAAACAGTGATGGCATCAACCCTGAATCCATCATAAAAATTAAGAATATGGAATTAGTAAATACCTCGGTGTATGGATCACTTATAACAAATTTAGTGTGGGAGGTGGAGAACTTGAACATAGAATATGTAGTTTCACCCAACACCACCACTTTCCGCAAAACCAAAACATCAATCTGAAAACTAGAGTCATGTTATTAACTAGCCTCGTTTGATCGAGACTTTTATATGAATGTTATGAATGGCATTAAACCCGTCCAGAAATATCTAAATTCTTAGCTGTATACAACCGCTTTCTAAGATCAATGATTAAAAATGACTTTGAGCGGGTGGAGCCTTCGAACAGCGTGGACTGGCGCTACACAATCACAAAGAACTGTACCAGACAGCAGAAACCACATCGCTTGAAGACTATCAACACCAGTAACAGCTAAAATGAATATCCCATGTAATTCAAAGTGAAACAATGGCATAATCAAGATGTTGACGTTCCGCACTACTTCAAACAAAAGGTTAGAAAGGAAACTCCCATCAATACTGGAAAGAGCAATAACAGTTACTGAACTTGAGACATTTTCCAGAAAAATTGTTTTTAAGAGAAAGATTTTATAAATTTCAACCGACAATAGTAGTGACTGCTCGGCCAATGAAAGCCGAATGTTTCCTTATAAGGAAACGCTTAATATTACCATTAAAGATTCAAGTCGAAACATCTTTTGGTGATTATTAAGTTCTTTCCCGTTTAACACACAAAAATTGGCTTGATTTTATTCACTGGTCGTATCCCGATTAGCATCTCTCTCTCTCTCTCTCTCTCTCTCTCTCTCTCTCTCTCTCTCCCTCTCTCTCTCACACACTATTCTCACCTTTTTCTCTTTTCTCTCTCTCTTTCTCTCTTTTTCTCTTTCTCTCTTTTTTCTCTTTTCTCTCTCTCTCTTTCCCTCTTTCTCTTTCTCTCTTTTTCTCTCTTTCACTCCTTCTCTCTTTTTCTCTCTTTTTCTCTTTCTCTTTTTCTCTTTCTCTTTTCTCTCTCTCGCTTTCCTCTCTTTTCTTTTCCCCTCTCTCTCTCTTTCTCTCTTTCTCTTTCTCTCTTTTTCTTTCTTTCACTCTTTCTCTCTTTCACTCTTTCTCTTTCACTCTTTCTCTTTCTCTCTTTCTCTCTCTTTTTTTCTCTCTCTCTCTCTCGCTTTTCTCACCTTTTTCTCTTCTCTCTCTCTTTCACTCTTTCTCTTTTTTCTCTTTCTCTCCGTCAGTCAATCTCTCTTTCTCTCTTTTCTCTCTCTCTCTCTCTCTCTCTCTCTCTCTCTTTTCTCTCTTTTCTCTCTCTAGCTTACATCACAACCCCCATTGCTATTTTAGGGGGATGGAAGTACGGTAATATCAATTATAACTTTCAGGCAGAATGACCACGTGACTTTGTCTCAAAGTAGTTTAGTGAATTCCCTTTTAAATTTCCAACTGTATTTAATAACAGTTAAAAAAGGATACACTTTTTGGAGTACACATGTTTTTTAGTGGTGTGGCGGGGTGAGAGGTCTTTTGTTGTTGCTGTTGTTTTTTGTTTTTTGGAGGGTTTTTTAGTGTGAATTATATCTCCCGGCCTGCGCATTCGAGAGTCTTAATAAAGATAATGTTCCCGCTGCCATAATGTCAGATTAAGAATAAACAAAATCCATGAATTCAAAAGACTAAATCCCGTAACAGGAGCTTTAATTACAAAATCGACCTCATTAAAAATAAGACATTTTAGAATTATATATGCAGAACACTTGCACGTACACTAAAATCTGAGCATCGAAACATGTCATTCCATAAAAATCGTTTTCTTAGTGTTCTTATATGTCTAATAAAATCATCGTATTCCGTCAATTTAATATCAACGACTGAATGTTAGTCTTCGGAGGCTTTCTCCGAACGTTGATTCTCCTCGCAAAAGTGCAAGGGACCTTACGATACCTGGGAAACATTGTTGGGTGGATGTCTATATATCTTTCCCTACCGTGCCGCTCTTTCACACGCTTGTATAGCAAATGCAGCTGATCCAGTCAAGTGATATCACCTGGCTTCCTTAATAATCTGGTGTGATATTAAGTGCAAAGTCTATTCTGTCACGATTTGTGGTGAGGCACTTTTTTTACAGAGTTTATATCTATCGAGGTTGGAGCTAAAGTTCCTATTTTGGCGGACCAACTTTTTGGTTTTGTAGACGAAAACTTCTTAGACTGGAGAAAATCTCTACACCTTACGAAATTATTCTTGCAATAGACGATTGTGCGAGTAACGAAGAGGGGTAGTGATGCCCACGACTCTGCTGCATTTTGCCCCGAATGTTTGCAAATCACTGTTCACCATTGCTCGTGAGTCCCTTTTTGTAATGTCAACGAATAGTCGTTGTCACTTTCGTAATGCTCGTTGTAGTAGAGACTTTGTAATCGCAGAAATAACTATAGTAACGCCGTTGAACAATACTGGTGTCAAACGCCGTCGAATAACACTCGCACTAGTAGTACTTGCTCGATGATACTCGCTCGAATTGTAACCCGTATAATGATCCGTATAGAGAAATAGTATGGTAATAGAGTAGAGAATTGCGGTCCGTATAGTAATAGAGGATAGAATAGAAATAGTGATCCGAATAATGATAGAGGATAGACTAGAAATAGAGATCAATTAGACGCCACGCTACCTTCCATATATGCGTTTCTTCTATGGTCACATGGTCTTAATTCAATATTGGGATCGCCTGTGTTTGCTCACTGGCGATCTATGTTCAAACTCAAGTGTCGGTAGCGACACTTTAAAATTAAAATACGCCCAAACTTTATTTTCTAGCCAATATTACAAATATGCCAAAAAGATTCCAGATTTTTTTACTTATAGATAAGTATAAGAATTGTATTATAGAAATAATAAATGTATATGCTTTATTTTGAAGTATGAACTTGTATTTTTAACAACTAAATTCTATGGGACATTTATTTGCACTAGCAAAATAATTCATAATAACCCATTTTAAAATATGTGAGTAATGAATAAATTAGAAAAAGTAGAGATTTATTCAATGAGATCTCTTTTGTTGATGCTGCTCTGAGAGTTTGTTTTTTATTTATTTATATTTGGTTCTATTGACGTCATTGATAGTCAAAGATCCCCCCTTTTCACAATGTCGAGTCTATTACTAAATTAAATTCATTTATATTAATATACTAGCAGTAGAACCCGGCGTTGCCCGGGGATGTAACAGTAAGAGATATATCGAGTATCGACCATCATAAAGACTGAAAAATAAAATTGACAAAGATTATTGTTTACGGTTGACGGACACGCATGTCTTAATTTTTTTGTTTGTTTTTTTTTTGTTTTGTTTTTTTACGAATTGGTCAAACCCAATCTCAAACAAAAGCAATGTTTTCAATCGTTATGAGTCTACCGATTGAATAGAATTTTATTATAAACAATTGTCTTGTAAATGGAATTTTTAAAGCATTCTGAATGTAAAAATAAAGGAAAAAAGTGTGCAAGACAATAAGAAACACTACCTGCCAAAGAAATTGAAGTTTTGTTGAAATCAGTTGAAAAATGTAGGAAATTCGATCTCATATATAAACGAACACAGACACACACTCACAAAAAACCTGGGTTTTATAATAAGTATAACTCGATATGAGTTGTCCCCCTTTCATTCTCGACAGCGATGCCTCTTAATCGTGTTTTCAAATTGATTTCGTGCAAAAACAATTGTGTTTTTCCAATTTTTGGCGCTGTCAGAACCACCGCAAGGTAATTTTATTTAGTCCTGTGAAGTTTTGTTGAAATCGGTTGAAAAATGTAGGAAATCCGATCCAATATATAAACGTACAGACACACACACACACACACACACGCACACACACACAACCTGGGTTTTATAATAAGTATGATTAATATTTTATTTTATTTTATTTTATTAAATATTTAAAATTAATATTAATATTTATTATTAATATATAAAATTAATTTATATGACAAATTATAATCTTTATATAATTTTCCTTTATAATCCTTCTTTTAGATATCCTTCTCTTTCTTTATTCAACTTTTTCAATTAAAACATCCAGGAGAGTAAAAGGGACGCTGACTGACATCGCTTCATGTCATTTTCGGCTAGTTTTAGAGTTGTTTTTCTATTTTTTTTTTTTTTTTACATTACTGTAGAAATTCCAATTCTCGATTCTAACAACCGTTCCAAAGTGAAATTGCTCTATGACTCCACTAAAATTTTAACGTGGACCTCCAATTTGCTATTTTTTTGTATGTGGACCCAAAGTTTTATCGTCAAAATCTTTATTATTATTATGAAGAGGACAGATCAAAGTATTTTTTGAATATTTAATTAAATTTTTTAATACTTTTCAGAACATTTTGATTAAAATTATTTTCTTGCGTTACTATAAATTAAAATAGCAAATTTTAACGTCTATTTTGCTGTGAAAGACACATTAATTTGGAAATTCTCGCAAAAATCAAATATTTACCGAACAATAATGAAACTTTCAGGACTTATTCACAAATAAATGAAATTATTTTAGAAGTTTTTATTTTTTTTTAAATCATGGTAAAATATTTTTCTTTTAAATGTGTTTCATTATATTAGTTAAAAACTAAAACCGTTTAAAGAGTTTAAATCATAATTTTTTTTAAAATTGGACGCCATTTTTCAGAAAAATCTGCTCTGACTCGTAAAATAAAAAATGCAATAAAAATTAAGACATAATTTAATTACAAAATTACATAATTTTAATTACTTTTATGAATAATATATATTAAGGTCAATATTGTCGGAAGAAAAAAATTTCGATGAATAATGAATTTTTACAAGATTTGTTTCATTTCTTACAATTTTAATTAGAATAATTTATAAAGATTTTAAATCTCTTAAAATCCAGTTTCAATGGTGCAAGTTTTAGAAAATATTGTTATTAAGTAAAACTATATTTACTAATCATATATCGTAAATCTTATTACAATCTGACAACCCTGTCGGAGTTAGCTCCTTCTTAATTCCCTAATTGTTCACTAGGGGACGCTCTCCCTACACTATAAATACTGGGCGACTTTTTGCCTCGTTCTCTTTTCTACTTTACATTTCAGCGGACACATCTAAAATGTGATCTCTTACGGAGATCAACGTTTTCGCACACTTATGGGAAAACGCCATGAAACACACATACATGTACGTACAAACATTCACCAAAATACAATCTCTTTACATTCACACACAAACACAAATGTTAATATCTTTGTCACTTGTAAATTTGTTCTTTAACACATATATTTGTTGACATATATATATATATATATATATATATATATATATATATATATATATATATATATATATATATATCGGTCTTGTTTGTGTTCTTTACATCTTCGGTTGGACTCAACTTGAGTCCGCCATTTTCTTGTAGTTGGACCTTCTTCTAGCAGGAATAAACAGCACGTGTTTCGAATTCAACAACACTCAAACCTACACGTTCTTCTACAACCCTGTGTATATTTTAAAAGAATTTTGAATTGTTTTTGCATATGTATAAACGTGCCGATTTTTGTAGATAAGGTCGCCCACGCTCGACATTATCCGAGAATAAGAGCTATTACTATAGTAAATTTATAGCCAAAATTCAATAAAACATTACATTATGGAGAATATTTTCTTAATTTTTCAAGGTTACTGAATACATAAAAGACGCTCGTTTTATATTCTTCAATTATTTTTTAACGGCTAAAGCCTTCGTAGAATTAAACTTTAAATGACCTAATGGTTTTCAAATAAAGTTTCAGGAAGGTATATTTTATTTTTGGAAGATTTTTAATAAACAGAATTACATTTAGATGAAAGATAACTAAGAAAAAAAAAAAAAGACCGCTTATCAGCTATTTAAGAAAAAAAAACTCCTTCCAGTCAATTTAAAATAGATTTGAATTATTTTTCGAAATACAGTAAAGTATTTTGTTTATTGGAAATATTAAATAAATCTAATCCATTAGCTTGAAATTAAAAAATAAAATAAATGCTTCAAGAAAGATTTTTCATTTTTTTAAAATTCATTTTAAACCTTAGATATCGCATTTTATGTGGTACGTAAAATGAAGAATCTATATTTAAAACTATGGTTATATTTCCTACACGATTAAATTATGATTTTTATTTAAATTTTAAGACAGTATGAAATGATAACTATATATCATATTTTAGTAACCCTCATTTCAATTTTCAAACATTTTCTTAAATTTCATTGGTTGTTAAATAAAAATAAGCTTCAAGAAATTTCCATAACAAAACAGCACGTGTTTCGAATTCAACAACACTCAAACCTACACGTTCTTCTACAACCCTGTGTATATTTTAAAAAATATCAGCTAT